TGAGCATTTATTTCTCAACGTGAAATATTAACGAAACCGTTTACAATTAGCTATCATTTACTGTACGCACGCTTTAATTAGTTCATCAGAATGTCATATATAAATTTTGCTCGTTTTCATCTCTTGGATCTTATCGCGTGAGCTTAAAAATTTAGTTCTAAATACGCAACTGCGTTTGTTCGTCTGAGAGTTGCGAGCACACGCACGAAGGATAAGACTGAAATAGCGTCATCGTGTTGTGAGCGTGAGCTCTTCTAAGATAAACAATGAGACCCCATAAAAACCTAACTACAATTGATAGAAAATAAGCAACAGCTTGTCATTTGATGATTATTTGACTGGGTGATTCTGACAGTGTGAATATAACAGCAAAGAATAAGATTTTAGTACTTAAATTAACACGTGAATCTATATAGCTATTCTAATAAATATTATAGTTAATCCTTCATTACTCGTTCAAGAGATTTCTACTTTATAAGTTCGTTACATATGTGAATGCCATTTATATTAGCACAAAAATTCTTTCACGATTAAAAAGAATTGCATTAATTTTATTTAAAGGAAGTATATTATATTATCAATCTCTATTTAATTGTAAATCATTAAAGAGAATAATAACATATAATATTAAGATAATACGTAAGATAAATATCCCGCGTGATTAATTACATTAAAAAAAAAAAAAACCACGCGAGTAATATTAACGCTAAGCGCAGTTAAATTGATTATTCCTTACAAAGAATTCCGATACAGATCTTTACGACGAATCTTCTGATACAGATCTCGTATGAATTTGAAGAAAACGCGATGGGTCATTAAAACGCACGCGATATATTGCAGATACTTTGCGATAACGGCGCGAATTTAATATACTCTTTTGTCACTACGAGCGCGTGACGTTGGGGGGGATCGTTATTGCCCTTCGCCCTTCTCTTTCCGTCCCCGTCCCTCTCCCGTCCCGGGGCGATAAATTATTTTCGTCTCGGCCATCGTCTGGCGGTAGAAAGTGTACGAAGGTGGAGGAGATGGAGGAGTCGTCCCTGAAGCTTTTCAAGCCCGACGTAAATTACAAGCAATAGATATATCCTAACCGGTCCGCGGCGCGGCTTATTTATGGACATCGCTTATTGAATGCATCGTATGCGAGCGCATCGTGTGCTGCACCGTCGCCGATGTTGCGTGGAGTGCATTACGTCGCATCGGCCGTGCGAGCTCGCGGATCGCGCGTGACGAATCGAAGGACCGCCGTGTGGGTTCCGCGTGCATTCCGGACATCCACCGGGGCTCGCGATGCTCGTCGAAAGCACGCCGTTAAATTCTATGTTTATTATCCTCTCTCTTTTATTCGCGCAATACGCGCAATAATAATCTCGTTTAATCGACCACCGTCTCGCGTTCTAACGCGTTACGTTTACGCTTCCTGCACCGGGATTCTGTAACTTTTAATAACGTATCGGTGATATTATTGTTCCGCTTCTCTTTTACTATATATGTATAATAATCTATGTAATGTAACGATGTACCGACATTGTCGTTAAAACTTACAGAATTCCAGTGCTGAGATTCTCGTACGTTACCGCGCTCTTGTTTTTATACCTCTTGCCCTAAAGTGAATACGAGAAAGTGATCTTCCGGGACGTTACGTTCTCCATTTTCCTTTTCTGAGTGCCACGTGTTTGATACCGTCGCATTCCAACTCGTTTATAAATCAAGTGACATATCCCTTTCGCTCATTGGACCTCACCGAGCATTATTTCACATCTCCTTTATTGTCGCGTTACACTTGCGTCGCTCTAAATTTCGTATACGTCGCTGTAAATCAGAATGCACTATTTCCTGATTCAATGTCAAGGAACAATCCAGGGTCTTCTTTTACCGGGCCACGTGTTTGCCACCTCGTACTCCGACGCGAGTTTGTTTAACCCGCTCGGAAGTGTCAACGAGAGATCTCGGTGGCGGGTGGATGACAGTCATTTCATGGTGGGCGCCACACAACCCGGTTTCTGTCAGGGTTTCAATTTCCGCCCAGACCACGAAGCGTCGACGGAGTCGCGGCGACAGTGATTACCTGTTTATTATGCCGGACGATGACTGATTCGATCCTAGAACACACGAGCTATTTTAAATAAGAGTCGCATGAACGTCCCCCGCCCGGTTTCCCATCAAAGAACAACAAATATCCGACACATTCGGTGCTTTTTCACGCGGTCAAATCGGACGTTTACGATCTTGTTTGGAGTTCTTTCCAGGAGGAGTGTTTATGACACTTGTGTTATATTAACATTTTCTTCCAATTGTATCATCTTAAATATCGTTGTGTCCGTACTGTTTTGCTCTAAATTCGCTAATCTAGTTTTATTTGAGAATTATGTTATAAGATTAAAATATCTATAATATTATAAATGATATATAATTAATAACGGAAACACATTATTTATATAGATATATTTTTTTTGTGGCATAAAGAAATATATAAATTCTTCAGGTCTTATTAAAATTTTTTTGTTTTATTTTCTTTAAGAATTTTTCAAATTTAATTATATACGTTTTTAATTTGTAGATAAGCTTGTTCAGAAAACATAAATAAAATGTTATTATAATACAAAATTGGACCGATATGAAAATAAATCTAATTGTACAATATTATTGATAGAATTTATTACTTTTAAATCTTGTTAGATATAAACAGTAAAAGTTTTTTCAAAAAGTATTATTTATAAAATTATTCTTGGGATCACTATGCTCCAGTTCGGTAATAATCATATTTCTGATAAAAATGTAAATAGAGTTTAAAATCAATGTATCTGTGTCTAGTTAAATTAATTGCGAATTGCGATCAACTTTCTGATTATTTCGTGTCCGAGCGAGTTACAACGTTTCTTACCGCACCTGATCGGTATGCATTTTGCGCGGTCCAGCATTTCTTCGGGGGTCCTCGCATCCCTCTTCCCACGAAGGGCACACCGTGAACGCATTTAAACGTTTTTCTGCGAGATGTTCGATCGATCGAGATGCGAATTCTTTCACAGGCTGGACTCGCGCGGCAGCTTGATTTATATATATACAGGGTGTATCAGAAGATGGATACTTTCTCCGAACTACGCCGTCCAAACATAATCACTCAGATTTTATAGAATATAAAACAGATATATTAAAATATATATATTTTTAAAATGATTATTAACCTATTATTAATTATTTTTCAATGTAAGTAATTAATATTAAAAAATTTTAATGTTTTACGAATATAAAAAATTGCATTTTATTTCAAAGTTTTACTTAAAAAGAATTCTGATCTTAAATTACGAATAGAGAAAGTTGGGGAAATATTTTATAGGGTAGACATGAATTCTTTAGTAGTAAAACATTTTATTGTACATTTTCGTAACCAAAATTCAACTTTAAATTTGATCAAGGAATTTATAATAAATCCATGGATACAGATACACCCTATACACACGACGAGCTACCGTTGATCGAAACTGCTGAACCAGTTTCGTCTTTCGTGCTAATCCACCTTCGTCGCTCCCCATTCTTTCTCGCACTGCCCGTTCTTTCTAGAAAGCGCACTTTTTTGCGCTCGAAATTGGCGTTTCGCGGTGACGACTACTGTTTAAATCGCACGCTTAAGTACCTCCATAAGTTATACATCTATTCAAACGTTCCGCAAACAATTTCTCGAATGGATCAAATGCAATTTTTTATAATTGCGTTTTAAAGTTTTAATAAAGGCTTATCAATCTGAGCTTTCTTTATTCTTGTAAATCAAGAACACTTAAAAATATACATAAAACTCTGTCTCTAAAACAATCACACAAAGCGCAGAATAGATATTATTACTTCAAAGTTATAATTCTCTAAGAAGATAAAAAGCATCCATTTTACAAATTGAACATTTTTTCAATTTTTTCACGTCGACAATTCCAAGCAATAAATGCAGGGTTCAAAAAGGTTTATTTAAAACTGCAATTGCACTTGGAAATAAATACTTGAAGAAGATACATAATGAGACATACGTATACATATGTGTGTGTGTGTGTGAGAGAGAGATTTATAAGTAAGGATTGAACGTTGATTAAAACTCTATTTAGCGCAAATTGGAAGTTGTTTCTCTACCAGATCGATCGCACCTGTCGCGCTGTGGATCGGATAGGACAAATGCAATCGCGGCGGATGACGGTGCGCATTATCATTCGCGGAATTGCCGCGTAATTAAAATTTATTCGCGCGATATGGCCCGATACCTTGTGCGTTACATTACGACGGTTCATGTAATACGCGACAAGCACGATAACGACGCGCACGGCGCTCGCCAGAACGAATACACAGAGGCTCATTAAGGGAATTTACCGGCGATCGCATTGCATTAAGCTCTTTGCCGGGGCCGGAGCTAGCTTAAGCACGGCCAAATGCAGCTGCATATAAATTGATAATTTCACAAAAGCACGCATACTATGTGCACTTTAACGCTTGTGTCGAGGATATACGATCGGGATTACGCTCCCCCCGGACGAAGGGAGCACCGCGTACCGCTGGACCACGGGAGTAATTTTACTCAAAGGCTCTTCATTAACACGATCCCTGTTTGAAAACACGTCCTTAACGCTCCGCGTATACCTGATGCTGTCGAAGTCTGCTTCCATCGATGTGTTAGCCAGGTCTACTTCTTCCTTTAACGAAACTCTGAGGAATTGTGTGTTCGAGATGAATAGAGACTTCAATAGTTGCATTCAAAGTCACTTTCGACTGCTTCTTTTTGACAAATTATATAAGATTGGTTTTCTCAACAAATCTTTCTGTTTATACGTTCCGTTTTCTCCTTTTCCTTGTCTCTATGTCTTTCTATATTTCTGTGAAGTCCATTTTTCTTTTATTTGTTATTTTGATTATAATATATTACTTCCATTTTTGTTAGTTATAAGTTTCTTGTTGCGAGTTTTATTTTATTTAAAAATGTGAAGAATATAAAAAATAATAGTCGTTTTTAAAAATTTTTTTAGGGGTATTGCAAAAGCAGGCGAACCGAACAATTTTTTACCGATGTCAGCAGGTTCCATACACATGGAACCGGTCTACGCCACCCTAAGAAGAAAACAGAGGAGGCTTGCTAGAGAGAATCCAGGAGTACTGATGGCAGTGTCAAGGGGTGCGAACCAAGCTATCGCCGAATGTCAACATCAGTTTCGCAACAGGCGATGGAATTGCTCGACGAAAAATTTTCTAAGAGGGAAAAATCTTTTCGGCAAGATCGTCGATAGAGGTAAGGAAAGATAAAGTTTGATAATATATGCTATGAAGAATTAATTATCAGCTAACAATAATGAGAACTATTAATCATTACGAAAATTATAATTTGCCTACTCGATTATGCTATTCAATACAACTATATTCAAGAACTAATAGCTAATTCCGCTGACTATTTTCATAAAAAATAATGTGTTTAACCCTAGGACGCTATTGTATGTAAATTTGACGTGTAAATGAGCGAAATCATTGAGCGTCAAGCTATGCTTTCAACGATTAGCAAATTAAATTTAAAAATCTGCTTAATTTTTCTTTTCTCTTAAGTTATTAATTAGATTATTTAAATTTATAAATATTTAGATAAAAATAATAAGATAAATAAATATTTTATCAATAAAAGTGTGAGAGAGAGAGAAAATCTTATATTACATTAAGAGTCTACTTCCTCGAATGTAAAATTTACGTATCAATATATACTAGTAATATTGTATCACTCAATATTGATAGCTAGATCTAAGATTAAATTATTAAAATAAAATTTATTAAAAAAGTAGTAAGGAATAAGTTCCTTGTTTTTGCGCAAAAAATCGCAGTAAAATGATATATATACATAAACTTAAGACGTATTTAATCTGCGTTTCAAAAGATAGTACATACCATGATATAATCAGTGTTCCCAATGGAGAGATTCATTGGGAACGAGTTTCAGAGGAGGAAATGAGAAACATAAGTAACAAGAGAGAGAGAGAGAGAGAGAGAGAGAGAGAGAGGTCCGATCATGGTCGTTAAGATTACCAGTGACAAATCTGTCGATTTGCTTAAGTTAACACAGGCTCGAGACGTCTCATAACACTCGCTAGATTAAGTAATAAGATCGTCATCTCGTCATCGCAATGCGTCATCGCTAAGCGAACGACACCTTCGAGATAAGCCGTAGACTTTTCAGCGGATGTACAGCTAATTTAAAACGACATCACTGGCCTCTTATCTGGCCGAAAAACATGTACGTATTACTTCGGATGGATCATACTTCTCTTAACTTTACTTTATCTCAATTATACATAACGCTTAAATTTACTTATTATACTTATGAATTTATATCAATTTTATATAAACTTATTATATAAAAACGTACAATACATAAATTATAATACAATTACACAAAATTAATAATTAATTTCAACGTACCTAAATTGTAATTAAAAAACAAAATAATATTTGATAATATTTGTTACATAAATATGTGATCTACTTTACTACATGTATTTATATTTTCTATATAGAATTTGTATACATATATGAAATGCTATTAAGTATATAATAAATAATTGTATTCGCTGAGTATTGATATTATTCTATTTAAAACGTGATCGGACACCCGCGGTGCTCTCGACAAGGCGCATTAACACCTCGTTCGAATGCGAACGCGCGATCGCATAGATCGAGTGCATAGAGCGCGAAGGCTCGAAGTCGTCATGGGGTTAGAAGGACGAGGGCACGATGATGCCTCGGTGAGGAGTGAAGAGAGGGCAAGGGGGCTTTAGGAGGCGTGCCCTTCGTCCGAAGGCCCCGGGCACGTGCCCTCACCGGCCAGATGTATGTTTTGCAACCTGATAATGGACCTTCTCGTACCAGTTCTGGCTCCCCTGCGGCTCTTTTAGATCTCGTCGAGGCGATTGTAAGCCGAGCTTTTTCGCTCGAGCCGCTCCCACCCCATTATGTCGAATGTCCCCATATGGCCACTTAGTAAAACTAAAAGAAGTACACGGCGCAAAGAGAGAAAGAGAGAGAGAGACAGAGAGAGAGAGAAGGAAAAAGAGAAAAAGAGAGGAAAGGGGTAGAGAGCGAGAAAGTAGCTTGCGCGTTATTTTCATGAGCCTGTAACACGTACGCTTCGACGCCCAGAGACATGTTTCATTGCAACATTGCAACACGAAACGATCGTAACGTCGCAATGGGGTGACGAGGATTTAGCGGTTAATACGAGATGTTCCCTCTGGTGCGTCTGCGACTAACACCGGTATCTAGTTGCAGATAGATTCGTATCTTCCGTATACTAACACCCTTATTTCCAATTCACCCTCCAATTGTATTCACTCGTTATTACAATGCATTTGTCGCCAACGTACTAAAAATGATTAACTATTCTATATGAGAATACTTTGAGGTTACCTTTATAGCGCAATATTACAAGCTTCCTGACCTTGTTGCTTCTTAATTTTCCGAAACTAACGGTGGATCTATTGGACCTACTCAATTATTAATCTCTTTATCAAAAATGTGAAATAATTCATTTTTTTTATGTTTCATCTTTCTTTCTTAAATATCTTTTTTATGTTTTCTTTTTCTCTATGTTACACATCTCTTCATGTTTTATTACGTTATGTTTCATGTACAAATTTGAATTATTTTGTTAAAATGTACTTAATATTCATTTTTATACGAGTTATGTCATTTTAATTCCTTAGTGAAATTAATTAGTGCCTTTTAATTAACATAAATTAAATGAGTAAATTAAATTAAATCTGTAAGACGTCAGTATCAGTAAATATGTTACAAATTTTGGGCGTCAGTGTCGAAAGTTTAAGTATCTCCTTGATGGGATATTATTGAGTATAGCAGAATTTATGAAGTCCACGATCGTTTCAAGTATTTTGCGGGTTTCGAGGTTTCTACGAAAGCGTTCGTAAAAAAGCTGATGTACTAATACATTCGGTGCATAACACACATCTTTTTTGCATACGCATCAGAAATATTATTTAAAAAGTTATACAATCTCATGCGTTATTACTTTACTTTGCGGCCATTAAGGGATAAAGACGAGGCGCAGGAGCTATTAGAAATTCCGTAAATTGAACAGGCGCGTCGCGGTAACGTGCGGCATTTATATGACACCTGTAAACGAAAAAGTGAGAGCGCCATGTGGCATCCATAACGCTTGACGTGTTAATCAAGTCCCGAGAAAGCCACTCACGGATAATAACGCCGGTGGGGACGAGAATCCATTTTTACATTCGCTTCGCACTTCTATGATACATTGTTCTGTCAGGAGCGGGTAGAAAATGATTACGTATAAATCGTGAGATACAAAAGCGCGTCACGCGGTTTAAAGATCGATCGTAATGTTATTCCTGTCGAGATTAAATAACCATTGTGAGAGGTATTAATTTGATGCGCGCGAAAAACCTGTCATGATTACGTTCACCAATCTATTGCGCAAATTAGATAAAGTCTAATAGATATGATAGAACATTTATGAGAATAATACCCATTTCTATCAATAGATTTCTCGGTTTAATGCACTCTTTATCTTTTTTAATTCTTAAAACTAGAAAAGGATAAAAAATAAATTAAACCGAGAGAGATCAAATTAAGTAAATCTACATTGATAAAAATGAACATAAATGGAATTTAACCGCAAATTCACGCAAATTAAAGAAGGAAAAGCGTTGCTTTTTCTTTATATCCTGTATAAAATATACCGTAGAGATCTACGCAAGCATATATGTATATGTATATAAACGCGTGATAATTGATGTTATTTTTGCACTCGAAAGTAACGAAACTTAACTTATTTTGTAATAGATTATTTTCGGTATACTTTGCCTTTTTCCGTTTTCCGTAACAATCTGCAGGATCGCTCGCAACTTCCACGAGACGGGGCCCTCGACCTTTCACCTTTTCGTCTTCATCGCCCCGTACGAGCGCGGACCAGTTTTCTCCGCTCTTCTCACTGCCGCTCTCGCTTCTTATATACATCTTCTTTGTCCTCGTATGGATCCTCTCGAGATTTGATCTTCACTGCACTGGCATAAGGGAAACGCAGATCGCTATCAACTACCGGTAATTCACTCGCGTACTTGTCGCATTCGAGGAGATCGAAAAGGGGATCCGGAAAGAACTCGTAGTCGAACACCGGCTTAAACGGTCGTTTCCGGATTATCACCATGCACAAACTGTCTACAGTCATGTCGGAAATATAAGCTGTGAGAGTAGAATGGCGACATATAGATTTCCAAGCGGGATAACACGAATCTATTGCGTCGTATTGGTCTCACGTTAATATTACCGGGTGTTGCGTGACATTTTGTCACAAATATACATATTATTGTGGTAAGAAAGAGAAAGTCATGTAGAGATTCACGTTTTATATTTTGTTTTTTTAACAAAATTTATGTACGTTTTGAGCTGTTAATTGAGAAATATACGTACTAAGTTAGAGGATATAAAGTACTCTGTATGGACGTTAATTTACTCGACGCGAATAATTATTAAGTACGGAACAAGTTGTCAATCCAGACTGGAATTTTTAATAATAAGCGAGTAAGACGGTTTTAATGTATTCATGTGTCAGTGTGGAAACGTACGATTAACGATTTGATAAAAAACACGATGTCGATTAACATGTATACGATCTGAAACTTTTGTCGACATCGGGTAACACGAGAATTGAATATATGTACGGCATTTGAATTTAAATAATATGTAATCATTGCGTACGTAAAAAAAAGTGAAGAGAATTAATGTTGAGCAGAGGATCTGTGCACGAGAAGATTTTTGGAGACTTGACTCCGATACTTTTGGTTGCGTTTGTACTCGATATTATAGCTGGTAGTGAGTGCGTTCGCGGCCTGTAATCATTTCGCCGCCAAGAGCCACCTACCGCATTGGTACCTTTGCCTTCCACCGTTCTCCATCTCGTTTCATCCAACTCCTCTTCTGCTCCTTTCTCTCGCGGCTTTCTCTCGTACCTCCTCATCTTCCTTCTCTTCACACACCGTGGCTCGCAAAAGCAAGCCTCGCAGCCTAATTGCTCGGTAAACTGCGAAGACTCTGCCGTATCGGGCGCATAACACTGTTTCTTCCTCTCCCAGATTATTTTTCATTATAACAACCGAAATCGTTCGATTCGAATCGCGAGAAAAAAGAACCGCGTCGTCAGTGACAGATAAACTCTTTCCTTCATGTACAATAGTTTTAATTTAATCAAAAACTCGGAGAATAAAAATAAAATTA